GCAAACCATTCTGCTCAACGAGTAATGGACTGGTTTCTCCTTCAGCCTCCCACTGCACGGGGACCACATCTGACACAACCACCTTGGGCAGGTGGCAGCAGAGTCTCTCCTACCTCCTTTGTTGACACAACACCATCAAAGGCACCTTCTCCTCAGCTCACAAGGGGAAACTTGATCCTTAAACTCCAGCAACTCCCACTCAAAGCATGGAGGTGAGCTGGGGGAAGAACAGAGCTGAGAGGAACCGATTGCAGAGGGTTTTTTGCACACTTACTGTGTCATGTTTAGGCTACTCAGGAGGTTTTACGTACAAACTTCAGGCTGAAGGTCTCTGCTCATTCCCAGGCTAAAGCAGAAGGAGGGAGATCAGCTGCTCTGATGTGGCTACGTCCTGACACTGAACATGGGCAGAGAAGACCAGAGCTAAGTCAGAGCATCTAATGAATGAGTTTTGCCTACAAGCCTGGTTTTATCCTGAAGTCCTGAGAAAGATGAGAAGCTTTTCCATCTCCCCAGTGAATGCAGTTTGAGTGCAGGGAAGGAAAACACCAGGAAACAAGTCTTGAGGAGTTTTTGCCCAGGCGGAAGAGTGGCTGCAGGGCTGGCCGCACGGAGAGCCTTCTGGCAGCAAACAGGAAAAGTGGAGCCACAAGTCTCCTAAACTCCACTAATATCAGAGTGGGGTATCACAGCTCAACAGTGGGAGAAACACACTGCATTTAGGGGTGACTGGAGTCTTTCCAGCTCTCCTGCCTTCCCAGGTAGCTGTAGGTAAGATGGTAGCAAAGCAGGGGATGATAAAACAGAAACAAGAGAAGGATGTGCAGATCCTGTAGGACCTCAGCTGGCATTGCTCTCCCTGCAAAGCCCTGGTCTTTTAATCACCATTCCTTACTCTACCAGCATAATAAAAGGCTCAGTTTTAAATAGAAAAGCTTTCCACCTCTGTACTATAAGTCTCCAGGAGCATGGGCAAAGCTCCTGGCCTTATTCTCTGCAGTTTAAAAAGGTATTTCCTGGTTTAGTGTGTGGTTCTGGCAGACAGAAGCCAAGTAGAGAGCGCCTGAGGAATTTAAACCAACAAATACAGGGAGGGAGAAAATCTGCAGAAAGAAGGAGTCTGAAGGAGTCTGAAATAGCCCAGGCAGGGCAGAAGGGACACGCCCCCAATTTTGCCTGTAAATTATCCCTGCTGGCTGGGTGATGTGAACAGGAGGCACAGACTATGGTCATGGGCCTGGGTCAGTGACGATGACCTAGGCAACCTCTCCCAGAGCCTTCCAGCAGGTTCCATTGCATAGAGATGGAAGGGATCTCACCAAGAGTGTTTCACAGACCTGTATGGAACTAGGACACACCTTCCCTGCCACCAGCAGAGGAGATCCAGAGCTGGATCCTGGGTTAGCCAACTCCAGGATCAGCACCCTCATGGTAAAGGCCTCACCACAGGACCCCCTGCAGCTCCTGCTGCATTAAGTCATAGAATCACAGAATCCCAGAACGGTTTGGGTTGGAAGGACCTTAAAGCTCATTCAGTGCCACCCCCTGCCATGGGCAGGGACACCTTCCACTTGACCAGGTTGCTCCAAGCCCCATCCAATCTGGCCTGGAACACTCCCAGGGATGGAGCAGCCACAGTTTCTCTGGGCAACCTGTGCCAGTGCCTCAGCACCTCACAGGGAAGAATTCCTTCCTAATATCTCATCTAACCCTGCACTTTGGCAGTGGGAAGCTATTCCCCCTTGTCCTATGAGTCCCGGCCCTCTAGCTCTCTTGGAGCCCCTTTAGGTACTGAAAGTCTTGGGAGCCTCCATTTCAAATGGGTTTTGTTTTTTTTTCCTGGCTGTTTCAGCTCATTTTTTGGGGAGGACCAGGAACTATCACTGCTGAAGCCATCCTGCTGCATGGACAGCATGCTGCAGCTTGAGTTACAGAGACTAACCCTTGCCTCTAGCTGGATAAACAGACTCCAGTGTAAACCACCCCAGTCCTCCATCAGGCTCTCCACGATGCAGATAGGCTCAAATTCAAACAACTGCCCAGATTAATTATGCAAACAAAGGCAAAGAAAGCATCCCCAAGACATGGAGAAAGGCACCTGACTCCCAAAGACCACCTACCCTGGGATAACACTGCACAATAGGGGCTGCTAATTATCAATCCCCTCCTGCTCCAGCAAGATGTGGGAGTGGAAGGGATGGGTAGCAGATCCAAAGTGGCCAGAAGAGCTTGAGGGAGAACAGCTGGGAGGCATTCC